TTAGGTTAACGTATCTGCCGGCACAACGACGATCACCATCAACTTGAACCCAAAGATCCGTGTGGAGCACTGGTAGGAAAACACACACACACACACAGCGATCTGCACCTCCTTTGTTGTTCGCCTTTGCCATTCGGGCCCCCATCAACTCGCACCTCACACACCATTCTCATGACCATCACTGTTCAGGTTCTCTGAGGAGACGATCAGCGTGCATCGTGGCGCGCTGCTGTTTTCCCTGCCCATCACTCCAAACTACACCGTCATTGGCGTGCACCCGTTCCAGTCCCGCGATTTGCAACTGCTCCCAACAACGGAGTGGCGATACGCCCTGAAGGTGACACACGCGCGAGTGTGTGTGCGTGTGTGTATCTGTGTCTGTGTCTGTCTGTCTGTCTGTCTGTCGGTCTGTCGGTCTGTCTGTCTGTCTTTGCAAGCATGTTGAGTGATTTGCAGCCGCCGCACTTGTGCGTCCATCTTCACTTCCCAATGCCAACCAACAACCAAGACACATACTCCCCGCGGTCCCCTTGCTCCTCCTCGCATGCTTGATTCGTGTCCTTCAGGTCGATCCTGCGGACCCGGCGTCCAGTTTCCACTTCAACGGCGGCGGCTATCACCCGGGCACCGCCCCCTTCAATCACACGAGCTGGGCTGTCACCATCACCGCACAGGCGCGCGTTGTCCCCACCTGGGGGCTGGAGAAAAATTCCGCTGCAGCGCCACCCGCCTCTCCGGCCTGTTCGAATACGTCATCCTGTGGACCTCTCGTGAACGTTACCCTCGTTCCATTTGGAGGAACCGAACTCCGCATCTCAGAGATGCCGTGGGCGTAAACACTGCCACAGCGCGCCAAGTGTGTGTGTGTGTGTGTGTGTGTGTGTGTGTGCACTCGGTGGTTCTGCCACCTTCGTTGCGCTCTGTCTGACTCGCGATGGCTGTGTCGTGTGTATTTCGTGTTCTCCATCCATCCCACTCCCCTTCTTCATCTCAACATGGCTTCAGTTACAACTACGCCCCGTTTCGTTATTTCATTCATTCAGAGCACAAGCAACATGTCAGTTGGTCCGCGCATACATACAAACAGCGTAACCTCTCAACCGTGTCCCCCATCCTGTCCTTCCGTGCATACGGCCAAGCAATCTCATACCATGTCACCATTGAATACGCCCACGCACACACATATGTGTGTGTGTGTGTGCGTGTTTCACTACAGCCGCCATTCATTCCACATAGCCATCAAACACCGCTGCCACCCATCAGCCAAACTTGTGCAGCCAGCGAATCTTGCGTTGCAGCGCCTGCTTTGCCTCCAACACCTGCCCACACAAGTTGCGGGCATGTGGATGTGTGTGTGAATGAAGTGTGTGTGTGTGTGTGTGTCCAATGTGCGAAGTGGCCCACAGACGACATGCGTGTTTTAAGATCAGAAGATCCTTTTCCAATACATGCCCTGACGCCACAACTCGTTCACGCAGCATGTTACACACACACACGCACCTTGCGTTGGCGTTCGCGCTCTGCCTTTCTCTCAAGCGCCTCTGCCTGCCTCTTCCGCTTCCTCTCCAGCTCCTCTTGCTGCTTCCTCTCTTCTTCCTCTTTCTTCCGCCGCAGTTCTTCCTGTCGCTGCCGCGCCACCTGCCGCTTGCGCTCAAGCTCAGCCTGACATGGATACGTGGTTGTGTGTGGGTGTGCATGTTTGATTGAATGAGCTCTTGTAGCATTCTGCGATGCCTCAACAGTTCCTCACGGCGACACACATGTCACCAACAGAACACACCAACACACCACTACATCATAGCACGGGTGCACTACACCACAGCGTGCACACCGCATCACATATGTACCTCCGCTTTGGCCTTTGCTTCGGCCTCCCTCTGCTGTCGCAGCTGCTCCTCCCGTGCCTCTCGCTCCAGCTGTCGGTGCAGCAGTGTGCGAGGGTGCAGTGATGCGTGATGTCGTGAGTAGGTCTGTAGGTGGCAGCATTTGGTGCGATGCAGGGCGTGCTGTTGGCACACACACACACACACACACACACGAACGCACACACGAACATGGGATTGGCAGCCGATAACAGACACAAGCAGATGCAAAACAAAACACGGACATACACATGTTTTCAGCCCACCTTCTTTCTCAACTCTTCCTGTTGTTGGCGCTCTCGCTCAATCTCTTGTTGCTTCTGCAGCCTCAACCGCTCCTGCGTGGTGCAAGGATATGGGTGTGTACATGTACGTGTGCGTGTGTGTGTTTGTGTTATGAAGCAAGACGTGCAAGTGAGCAAGTGAGGAAGTAAAATGAAGATAGAAGCAGTCGGTGAAGCGTCGCAGTCCTCCAAACACACACGCATACACGCACGCATACACGCACACACACACACACGCACCTGTGCCCTGAGCTTGGCTTCACGCTCCTCTTGTGCGCGGCGCTGTCGCTCGCGCCTCTCAGCCTCCTCCTTCTTCGCTTTCGCCCTGGTGGTGACATGGGGGAAGCGGGGAGG